CAAATAATGAGTTTGGAGATATTCTTTTCTTGTCACTCTTTTGGGAGAGTTTGTGAAGGGTTGCTCTTCTTTTTTTAAAAAAATATTTGTAGAATTTCCCAGTATAGCCTGCCTGGCCCTCAGTTTTCTTTGTTGAGAAGTTTATGATTACTGATTCAATTTCTTACTAGGTATTGATTGGTTCACATTTTGTATTTCTTCGGACTTTAGTCCTGATTGTGTTTCTAAGAATTTAACCATTTCAATTAGGTTATCCAATTTGTTGAGATAAGTTATTCTTGGTACTCTTATATTTCTTTTATTCTATAGTTGGTAGCAGTGCTTCCATTTGTATTTCTCATTATAATTTTTTAATCTTTATTTTTCTTTGTCTAGCTAAAAGTTTGTAAATTCTAATTCTTGCTTTTGCTGATTATTTCCCCCCTACTTCTAATATCTCCCTGCTGTAGTCTTTATTATCTCTTCCCTTCTGCTAGCTTTGTGTTAGTTCTTTTTCTAGTTTATGTATGAATTCATATGTCTTGAGGTCTTTATTTTTATTTTTTATTTATTTATTTATTTTGTATTTTAGGTGTCTACAGGGTGTTCAGGGTCTCACTACTAGATCGGATTCATAGTGATTCTCCTGTTTACAGCCTCCCAAGTGCTGGGATTACAGGCACGCATGCCACCACACCCAGTCTCAATTGCTGTCTCAGCATAATCCCCCATCCTCCCACCCCCACCCCGGGCCCCGCACCTGTGTGCAGGCGCTTTAATCTGCTGAGCTATTTGGCTGGCCCAAGGTCTTTATTTTTAATGTAATTGTTTAAAGCTAGAAATGTCCCTTTGAAAACTTCACTGCAGCCATAAGTTGTGGTATGTTGGTTTTCATTTTAATTTGTTTTTTCTTGTGACTTCTTTACCATGTTAGTTCCTCAAGGATGTATTGTTTAATTTCTATGTATTTGGTGATTTTTCACATTGCTCTTTCAGTAATTTCTAACTCATTTTCTGCTGATTAGAAAGTATCACTTCAATCCAGTCATGGTGGCATGTGCTTGTACCTCCAGGAATCTGGGAAGCTGAGGCAAGAAGATCTAAAATTTGACCTCACTGAGCTCTGACTTAGTGAGACACTGTCTCAAAAGTTAAAAAGGATCAGGGGTATATCTCAGTGTGAAAGCCCTGGATTCGAGCCCCAGTAGCAAAAAAAATTTGTCTTTTCAATTGTTTGGTCTAGTACATGGTCTGTACTAAATAATGTTCTTGATTTATTTTATAAAAATGCTTACTTTCTATTTTTGGATAGATTATTCTATGTGTTATAGGTCCAACTGGTCTATAATGTTAATTAAATCCTCTATTTTCTTACTGATCTTCTGTCTAGTTTTTCTAAGGGCATAAAGTCTTCAGCTACAATTGTCTATTTTCTTCCTTCTGTTCTGTCAGTATTTGCTCCATATACTTAAAAGCTGTGATATTTGGTGTATGTATATTTGTAATTTGTAATTGCTCCTTTTACTTTCAACTTGTGTAAGTCTAGATATAAACTGAATCTCTTATAGATAGCTTATAGTTAGATTCTTGTTTTTTAATTCATTTTGCTAATCTTTGTATTTTGATTGAGAAATTTATCCTGTTTATATATAACGATTTATATTGCCTTTTGTTTTGTTTTCATTTTTTCAGACAGGGTTGTGT